TCAATCATCTCATGGTCACTGCTGCCCAAGTTGCCATCCACTACTACATTCCCCACCAATTCTTCCCTGTTTGTGAGCAGCAGATCAAGAAGACCACAGGCCATAGTTGGCCTCTCTAGTAGTTGCATCAGCAAGTTGTCCCCAACAGTCTCCAAAAACTTCCAGGATTGCCTGTGCACTGCTGTATTGTTTTCCCAGCAGATGTCAGGGTGATTGAAAGAAACTCCCACTACCTGTTTGAAGAAAGCCTCATCTACCACATCCTCATGGTCTAGTGGTCTATAGCAGACACCCACCATGACATCACCCGTGTTGCTCTCCCATCTGGCCCTAATCCAGAGGCTTTCAACAGGCCTACCTCTAGTTTCATACTGGAGCTCTGAGCAATCATACGGCTCTTTTACATAAAGTGCAACTCCTCCTCCACTTTTCCCCTGCCTGTCCTTCCTGAACAGTTTGTATCCACCCATGACAGTGCTCCAGTCACATAAGCTATCCCACCAAGTCTCTGTTATTCCAGTCACATCATAGTTCAAGGACTTCCAGTTCTTCTTGTTTCCCAGGCTCCATACATTTGTGTACAGACACCTGAGGTAACTAGGAGGCCAGTGCGAATAGGCAGCTATTTGATTTGGCTTGGATCTGGCTGCTTCAAATGCCAGCGGTCCAATCCAGAGCTCCGGATCAGTTTCCTGCTTCATTTCAGGGTATAGGATATAATGGGGAATCAATGAAATATCTATAACTCTGTTGTTTTTTGTCTGATTTCGATGAAACGTGCAGGGATGGTAGCCTCTGCTGAGAGCATGAAGCCTACCAAGTTTCAAGAAGATAAGTGCATGTATTTGGGGGGAACTGAACCCCAAATTTTTGAAAGAAAAACTCATGTCAAGTGTATGTGTTACACCACAGGGGGGTAAAAACTGCAGAGGTGGTGGCCCCTGCTGAGGCCACAAAGCCTGCCAAGTTTCAAAGAGACAAGTGCAGGGGTTTGGGAGGAACTGCACCTCAAGCTGCAGACAAGCAAAACTCGTGACATGGGTGACACTGTGCGTGTTAAGGCGCAGCAGGGTGAAAGCTGCAGGCCT